CGGTTCTCCTCACCTCTAGGAGTCTTTCTTGGTTGACTCCAATAACGCTACCAGAGCCTTTCCTGTTTGACTTAAATAATGCTACTGTATTCTGAACTCCAAAAAAATTAACCAAAAAAACCTGCATAACCATTTCCACTTTCTCATCCATTTCATCTCTTCCTCCTTTAACACAGAGGGGTTCTACAGGAATAAGCAGTATGATCACTAGAAACTCCACTGTTTCCCCCACTGCTGACAACTTAAGTCATCCCTTCCTTGCCCACTCAAGGTCTCCACAAGGAATCTTTGGACATAGTTTCACGTTACCCTATATCTGGTATAACTCCTGGTCCCACATGCTTACATTGTACCTAGCTAGCATATGGCCTTAGGGAAATCCTGAGCCAGGAGAAAGCTACTCAATTTTTATCTCTGGGTGATGCTTCCGTCATATCAGTGACTAACTGTCACAGCTGGCGACTGCATGATTGTGAGATTTTATGCAAAGGAGGCTGCCTGAGCGGTACCTTGGGGAGAAGAAGTGGGAACTTCTGTCAGCAGCCCAACGTGACACTGAATCAGCTGGAACAGCAAGTTTCCCTCTAAAACTCCCTGTGACCTGATCAAGCCTGAAGTCCAGTTCTGGGCTCCCCAGTACAAGACAGACATCGAGCTACCCAGATGATCAGGAGGACAGAGCGCATGACGCACTGGGAGAGACTGAGAGAACTGGGTTTGTTCGGCCTTCAGGAAGCTTTGGCAGGACCCTACTGTTGTCTAAAACTATCTAATGAGAAGGCGTAGATAAGACAGAGCCAAACTCTTCCGAGGGCTGAACAGTGGATGGACAAGACGCAACAAGTTGAAACACGCAAAAATCCAACCTAATATAAGGAATTTCTCCCCCCAACCACAAAAAATCCAACCCAAAAAAAGGAATTTCCCCCCCCCCCCCTTTTTTTTTTTTAAAACTTAAGGGTGGTCAAGCACTAGAACATGTTGTCTGCAGAGGCTGTAGAATCTCCATACTTGGAGATATTCAAAACTCAGCTGGACACAGCCCTGACATCATGGTCTCATTGAAGCTGCTTTGAGCAGGGGGCTGGACTAGATGAACTCCAGAAGTCCCTTCCAACCTACACGAATCTGTGATTTTATTAAAGTGCATCAACCCTTTTCAAATAATTACTCCAAAATGATTCCTGTAGCATTTTTCCTTTGGAAAAAAAGGACTAGAATTGGAATTTCAAAACTCAAAGGACTGCAACTCACAGTAGTATAGCATACTTTTAAATTTTTTTAGTAAGAATATATAACCATATTCAGGGAAAATATTCCATTTACATCCCCCACAAGAAGCGACTGAATAAACAGCTTTGAGACACCATTACTCAGCTGAGACATTTCAAGTGACGTGAGGTGGTCCACAAACCACTGCCTCTCATGGCTGAGCAAAACCATCTTGCCTCCTTGAGCGATCAGGACTGCTGGATCTGCCCCTTACTGAATTCTGAACACAGCAAAGCACGGGCAAACCCGCCCACTCGGGCAGATAGTGCCAGCTACACTAGCCAGATGTGAAAGACTGTGGTCCCTGAACTCACAGGATCAACTTGAGAGGCCTAGAGAATTGTAGCCCGCTGACAGAACCCTAAAGCTTCATATCGTCTCTGTAAATAGCAGATAGTCTCTGAGCAACTGAGCCTTAAAGCTCAGAGAAAATTAAGCCAGATATCCATGCATACCAGTCACAGAAAGCCAAATCTCAGCTATCTGAAAAGTAGCACGAGTTGTGAGCCAAGAACAACTACATTCAGGAATTCAGGACTTGATTCAGGAATCATACTTCCCCATTGCCCTTCTCCCCTGTAGCAATAATTTAGCTGAAAATAAAACAACAGTGTTTTCCAGCAATGCTGAGAAAGATGCCATTAAGGCAGCCATCAAAAATCCTTTAGTCATAGGTGAAGACAAGTGACATTCTGGAAAGCAAGAATAATCTTAATTTTTCCATTTACTGGTACCGGTAATTCTGCATGCTTTAATCTGCCATTTTGGTACATTTTCAAGAGGCTACACTGACTTCAGTGTAAAAACTATCTTTCTGTTATCACTACAGGTAACATCTGAACTTAGAAATAGAGCTAACGGTTGCACTTAAAGCCACAGTACCTAACTCTATCCAAAACTACCTCAAGTGAAAAAACAACGTACTATGAAACAAGAGAAGCTACACAAAGATATCTGATTGGGAGCTAAAGGATGATAAATGAACACAGGGGTAGTATCTCAGGTTATTTACACCAAGAAGCGGATCCTGACTCACACGTGGTGCTCATCACATGGCTAAAGAAGCAACTACCACTCAAAACTCCCATCCACTTCGCCCGGGGCAAAAAGCACTGTGAACAGCACGTCCCTCCGGTTTCTGCAACAGAACACTCAGGAATGCTAAAAAATCTTGAAGAGCTTACTTCCAGAGGTCAGACTGAACACCCTGGAAGCTGCCCCGCAAGCCATTCAGCCGATGAGAACTCAAACCTCTCAGAAGCAGCGAACAGCCAGGCGCGGGCGGTAACCGCTTCGGCCATCCTGGTTCAGTTCTTAATTCAAACCTTAATTCTTTAACTCCGGACAACTTCAGCTGCCCGGTTTTAATTCCCCAGGGCAGGAGGCAGCACCGCCGGCCTGGCTG